GTGCTCGTCTGTTCACAGCCCTGCAGAGGCAGTGGTGGAAATATCACTTTCCTATGGCGGGGGCGAGTCCATCCGCAGGTGGTGGTGATGGAAGTGATGGAGGTGGTGGTGACGCAATTGATACTACTGCTGCTGCTCCTGTTCTTACTACTGATAATGATGCTGTCACTGCTACTGATGATGCTTGCTGATGATGAAACTGACGATATTGATGATGACAATACTGATGATGAAGATGATGATAGTGATGCTGATGATAGTGATGATGAGGACGATACTGACAATGATAATGACGATGGGGACGATGATGGCGTTGACGATGACGCCGATGATGATGATCTTGACCACGATGATGATGATTTCCGGTCTCACTCACGTGCGCTGTGATGAGTTTCTTCTGCAGGTTCCCACCGGGATACTCCTCACAGAAGCAGAGGACGATCTCCGTCTGAGGCTCCGGACCTCCCAGCGTGAAGTTGTGGAGCTCTGGAAAAACACAGAGGGGACATCCCTCAACTAAAACTAAAGAAACGACTCTTAACCAGTTTGTATTTTTCCAGATGAAGGCTCCACTCAGCGACCAACTTCCGTGCCCTCGTCCAGGAGGTGGGGGGGGGGGGGTATGAAAGTGGGGGGTGTAAGTGGGGGGGGGGGGTGGAGGTGGAGGGTGGAAGTAGGGAATTGAGGTGGGGGGTGGGTGACCCCCGCGTCCCGCGTCACCTCTCATGAAGCTGTCGCGGTCGAACAGGGTGACGGCCGCCCTGCGCTCCATCTTGTTGGGCCTGCCCGAGTGTGTGGGCGCGCACGGGCCGCTCCAGTAGACGCGGCCCCGGCACAGCCGCTCGGCCTGAAGCCTGCCCAGCGCCGCGTCCACGCGGAGGGTCAATCCCCGGCCCAGGCTGCCGAGCGCGGCGGCCAAGAGCTCGCCGTGACGGCCCGGGTAGAACAGCGATGGCTGCTGGTGCTGCTGCTGCGGTGACGCTAGCGCGGAAGCGACGGTGGTGGCGGCCGGGTGAGGGAAGTGCAGCATGGCGGTGAGCGGGTCGTAGCCGGCCTGGGCGCCCGCGTTGAAGGCGAGGCGGCAGCCGAGGGGGTGCGACACGCGGGCGTAGAGCACTCGCTCGTCCTTGTACTTGACCAGCACGTCCATCTCGTAGAAGCCTGCCGCGGGGGTGGTGGTGGTTCAAGTTCAAGTGCATGTATTAGGTAGAGCCCTGTGAGCCATTCGGCTCTTGAATCGGGTGCAACCGCAACAAACAGAAAACAAAAACATGAAAAAGAAAACATCTTAAAGTGAATATGTGACTGAGTGCAAACAGAAAATCCAAGAAAAGACAGCAAAATATTGCAGAAAAAGCACCGTACACCAACACTGTGTGCAAAAATCCCAGTGGGATGCAAGTCAAACAACCACAAGACAACTTAGATTAAGGCCATCAGTCTAACTCTGTACTACAACAAACAAGCATGGCCAAACCAAAACACTTTTCGAAAATCACCAAAATAAAGCCATAAAAGTAATGAAACAGTGATCATAGGTGGTGGTGGTGGTGGTGAGGGTGGTTGTGGTGATGGGTGGCTAAAGCACAGCAAGTTGGTACAGTAGGGGGGGCACACGTGGTGCATCAGCCAGTCATCTCGGTCATCTCAGTCAGTCGACCCGTGGCACCTGCTGGGTCTGCCCCGTGACCTCCTGCCAGCGGGCGTTCGACACTTCACGTGGCCTCAAGGTGCACATGGCCTGGCACAAGCGTCGTGGTGACGTCACCGCCACTAAGTGGCGAATGGCGGTTGTTGGTGATGGCAGTGGTGATGGATATGGTGGTGGTTTTTGTTGTGGTGGTTGTGGTTGTGGTGGGGCTGATAGGGAGCGGTGGTGCAGTAGTTAGTGCGCTGCGCTACAAACCCGGTAACCCGGGTTCAATTCCCACTCACGGTCGACACCAGTGACAGCGATTATCTGAACCGGTCCTTGGACCTCCCCTAGTTCGACTCAGCCTCAAATGAGTACCCGGTGCGGTGTGTGGTCAACATCGCCACTGGGGAGACAAAGGCGGCCGGGCGTGGTGCTGGCCACCCACCCCCTCGTGTGCCACAGTGCCGGCCTTCATTGGTGCTGCTACTCGCTACTAACAGCACTTGCCCCAACAGTCAGAGGCTACCCGGGGGATCTTTGTATTTGTTATACCAGCCTCCTCGTCGTGTGCCGTGCCGGCCTCAATAGTTGCTCGCCAACTGCACTTTCCCTGGCTGCGTGTTGAGGCTACCCGGGGGATCTTTGTGTCTCTGCGGCAATCCGGTCGGAGTGACGTTGGCCACGATGCAGCATCAAACGATGGGCCAACGTTGGTGTTGTCACGTGGTTGGTACACGTGACCACCACCACCATCATCATCACAGTCACAATGACAACCACCACCATCATCACCACCACCATCATCATCACAGTCACAATGACAACCACCACCATCATCACCACCACCATCATCACAGTCACAATGACCACCACCACCATCATCATCACAGTCACAATGACCACCACCACCATCATCATCACAGTGACAATGACACCCACCATCACCACCACCATCATCACAGTCACAATGACCACCACCACCATCATCATCACAGTGACAATGACACCCACCATCACCACCACCACCACCATCATCACAGTCATAATGACCACCACCATCACCACCACCACCACCATCATCATCACGGTCACAATGACCACTACCACCACCATCATCATCACAGTCACAATGACCACCACCACCACCATCATCATCACAGTCACAATGACCACCACCACCATCATCACAGTCATAATGACCACCACCACCACCACCGTCATCATCATCATCAGAGTCACAATGACCACCACCACCATCATCACAGTCACAATGACCACCACCACCATCATCATCATCACAGTCACAATGACCACCACCACCATCATCACAGTCATAATGACCACCACCACCACCACCATCATCATCACAGTCACAATGACCACCACCACCATCATCACAGTCATAATGACCACCACCACCACCGTCATCATCATCATCACAGTCATAATGACCACCACCACCATCATCATTATCACAGTCACAATGACCACCACCACCATAATCACAGTCATAATGACCACCACCACCACCACCACCATCATCACAGTCATAATGACCACCACCACCGTCATCATTATCACAGTCACAATGACCACCACCACCACCACCATCATCACAGTCATAATGACCACCACTACCATCATCATCATCACAGTCACAATGACCACCACCACCATCATCACAGTCATAATGACCACCACCACCGTCATCATCACCACAGTCACAATGACCACCACCACCACCACCATCATCACAGTCATAATGATCGTCATCATCGACATCATCACCATCGTCATCATCATCATCACTGCGAAAATCATCGTCGTCATCAACAGTCATCACCTAGATCGTCGTCATGATCATTCACTGATAAATTAATTTTCATCATCACCATCGTCATCATCATCATGATCATCACTTCTAAAATCATCGTCATTATCATCACCAACGTCATCGTCATTATCATCGTCAGCATCAGGATCATCATCACTGCTAAAATCATCATTGGCGACATTATCGTCAACATCATCATCACCTTTGTCATCATCATCATTGTGAACATGATGATGATGATATTGAGACTCAAGCCTGAACATCATCAGAGCTCCCCAGTGATTCTGACACGCCCATTATGAACCCCCGGTGAAACCAATTACTGTCAATGTCTGGTCCTGACATTCAAGTGACTATGTGATTGAAACATAAACTTGATTTGAAGCTTTCGTGACTGCAGCAATCCATACTCTTTGGTTCCTTCGGTAAAGTCACGTGGTTATAAAATAAAATAAATCACGAAGTTTCGGGCGCAACACAAGCAATCATCATCAGGTGGGAAAGCATGGTCTGCTGCTGATGCAGACTGTTTTAAAAGGTTTGAAATGGGTGTAGCCCAAGGGTCATAAAGAAGTGGCCGGGGCTAGTGATGTTAATGCGAGAGATTAGCATGATGTTAATGTGAGAGATTAGCATGATGTTAATGTGAGAGATTAGCATGATGTTAATGTGAGGGATTAGCATGATGTTAATGTGAGAGATTAGAGGGCATACTTCTTTACAGATCAGGGTTTAACTAAACTGAAACTAAATTGTATTAATGCTACCCCTATCCCCTCCCTGTGATGCTGCTAATCCTGCATCATGCACGGGCAAAGTAGCACTAATCACATATCTGCATTTCCCATATCCCCTCCCTTGGATGTTGCTAATCCTGCATAATGCACTTACACAAGTAGTACTAATCACATTCCTGCATTTCCCATATCCCCTCCCTTGGATGTTGCTAATCCTGCATAATGCACGGGCACAAGTAGTACTAATCACATATCTGCATTTCCCATATCCCCTCCCTTGGATGCTGCTAATCCTGCATAATGCACTTACACAAGTAGTACTAATCACATATCTGCATTTCCCATATCCCCTCCCTTGGATGCTGCTAATCCTGCATAATGCACTTACACAAGTAGTACTAATCACATACCTGCATTTCCCATATCCCCTCCCTTGGATGCTGCTAATCCTGCATAATGCACTTACACAAGTAGTACTAATCACATACCTGCATTTCCCATGGGTGTGCTGGATTCCTCTTGATATGCAAATTATTTTGTCAAGGCGCTCCCTTCCCCCCCCCTTCCAACCCAGCTTATATATATGCTCCAAGCACGTGTGCTGTTTCATTCAGACGCTGTCGCCTCGACAGACCTGGTTTCACCTGAGGACGGCTACTTGCGTTGTGGCCGAAACGTCGTGAGAATTATCTTATTATGTTATATTTTTATTATTTTATTACTTCCCTTCTACGTGACTTTACCGAAAGAACCAAGAAGAAGATAAACTGAAACTAAACTATGTTTATTGTTACCAGGTAAGACCCGACTAAGCTGTAGTGCAACTCTTGTTCACAAGCGATCTGGCCATCACAAATGATGAGTCAACACATTTGCTCATCATCATCATCATCACGTGAAAATTCATCGCGGCAGTCAAATGATCTCTAAACGCGTGCTGATGTTGATTCTAAATTTGCGGGGGAAAACCGGAGAAAAATCCAACACGCAATCTCCAAATATACAGCGGCAGGCATCGTCAGGCTCCAGGTCGAACCCACGACCTCCTGTAGACGAGGCGAGGTAGTGAACATCTCCTAGCCACCGTAACGATGATGAGAAAGACACTCAAAACTCCAAATACACAGCAGGCGTCAGGGTCTGGATCGAACCCACGACCTCCTGTAGACGAGGCGAGGTAGTGAACATCTCCTAGCCACCGTGATGATGATGAGAAAGACACTCAAAACTCCAAATACACAGCAGGCGTCAGGGTCTGGATCGAACCCACGACCTCCTGTAGACTAGGCGAGGTAGTGAACATCTCCTAGCCACCGTAACGATGATGAGAAAGACACTCAAAACTCCAAATACACAGCAGGCGTCAGGGTCTGGATCGAACCCACGACCTCCTGTAGACTAGGCGAGGTAGTAAACATCTCCGAGCCACCGTGATGCAAAGTTTCACTCCTGATAGGCATCATCGGCAGGGCGTTGTGAGTAAATACCTGGGTCGATGTTTGAGATGATATTCTTCATCTGTCCGGCAAACATATCTGCAAGGAAATATAAAAAAATATATCACTACTGTGTGACCCCCACCCCGAATTACAAATGTCCACGTACACCTCATGCTCTCGTTTAGCACCGCCCCCTCCCAATACGTCCCATTCATTGGCTACCACATTCTGATAAGCTCCCCCCCTCTCCTCCCCCTTAACTTGTATTTAAGAGCTTGCATCTTGGAATCACTGCCTCACTTGATGCAGCAAATCTGGCTGTGACGGTCCCACCTGATGACGGAGACTTGTGTTGCCTCCGAAACGTCGTGATTTTTATGATTGTATTTTTTATTAATTTCACTTTTTTACCGACGTGACTTTAGCGAAAAAACTAAGAGTATATAACAAGAGTAGCTTTTTACTCTTTCTGGCAATAGAGTCAAGTCTGCCTTACCCACACGTACTGGTGGGAAAACATGCAATTATATGTGTGGAACTTCTTTTACACAGTACGTAGCCAACCCCACGAATTGGAGGTGCAGGTGGAAGGACAACAAACTAAACACAACAACAACAACAACAAGTTCTAAAGAAGTGGGTCTCTGTGTGAGTCTATGGGTCTCTGTGTGAGTCTATGTGTCTCTGTGTGAGTCTATGGGTCTCTGCGTGAGTCTATGGGTCTCTGTGTGAGTCTATGGGTCTCTGTGTGAGTCTATGTGTCTCTGTGTGAGTCTATGGGTCTCTGTGTGAGTCTATGGGTCTCTGTGTGAGTCTATGTGTCTCTGTGTGAGTCTATGGGTCTCTGCGTGAGTCTATGTGTCTCTGTGTGAGTCTATGGGTCTCTGTGTGAGTCTATGGGTCTCTGTGTGAGTCTATGGGTCTCTGTGTGAGTCTATGTGTCTCTGTGTGAGTCTATGGGTCTCTGCGTGAGTCTATGGGTCTCTGTGTGAGTCTATGGGTCTCTGTGTGAGTCTATGTGTCTCTGTGTGAGTCTATGGGTCTCTGCGTGAGTCTATGGGTCTCTGTGTGAGTCTATGGGTCTCTGTGTGAGTCTATGGTGTCTCTGTGTGAGTCTATGGGTCTCTGTGTGAGTCTATGTGTCTCTGTGTGAGTCTATGGGTCTCTGTGTGAGTCTATGGTGTCTCTGTGTGAGTCTATGTGTCTCTGTGTGAGTCTATGGGTCTCTGTGTGAGTCTATGGGTCTCTGTGTGAGTCTATGGGTCTCTGTGTGAGTCTATGGGTCTCTGTGTGAGTCTATGGGTCTCTGTGTGAGTCTATGGGTCTCTGTGTGAGTCTATGGGTCTCTGTGTGAGTCTATGGGTTTCTTGTGTGAGTCTATGGGTCTCTTGTGTGAGTCTATGGGTCTCTGTGATAGTCTATGGGTCTCTTGTGTGAGTCTATGGGTCTCTTGTGTGAGTTTATGGGTCTCTTGTGTGAGTTTATGGGTCTCTTGTGTGAGTCTATGGATCTATGTGTGAGTCTATGGGTCTCTGTGTGAGTCTATGGGTCTCTGTGCAAGTCTATGGGTCTCTGTGTGAGTCTGTGGGTCTCTGTGTGAGTCTATGGGTGTCTGTGTGAGTCTGTGGGTCTCTGTGTGAGTCTGTGGGTCTCTGTGTGAGTCTATGGGTCTCTGTGTGAGCCTATGGGTCTCTGTGTGAGTCTATGGGTCTCTGTGTGAGTCTATGGGTCTCTGTGCGAGTCTATGGGTCTCTTGTGTGAGTCTATGGGTCTCTTGTGTGAGTCTATGGATCTATGTGTGAGTCTATGGGTCTCTGTGGGAGTCTATGGGTCTCTTGTGTGAGTCTATGGATCTTCTGTGTGAGTCTATGGGTCTCTGTGTGAGCCTATGGGTCTCTGTGTGAGTCTATGGGTCTCTGTGTGAGTCTATGGGTCTCTGTGTGAGTCTGTGGGTCTCTGTGTGAGTGTATGGGTCTCTGTGTGAGTGTATGGGTCTCTGTGTGAGTCTATGGGTCTCTGTGTGAGTCTATGGGTCTCTGTGTGAGTGTATGGGTCTCTGTGTGAGTCTATGGGTCTCTGTGTGAGTCTGTGGGTCTCTGTGGAGTCTATGGGTCTCTGTGTGAGTCTATGGGTCTCTGTGTGAGTCTATGGGTGTCTGTGTGAGTCTGTGGGTCTCTGTGTGAGTCTGTGGGTCTCTGTGGAGTTTATGGGTCTCTGTGTGAGCCTATGGGCCTCTGTGTGAGTCTATGGGTCTCTGTGTGAGCCTATGGGTTTCTGTGTGAGTCTATGGGTCTCTGTGTGAGTCTATGGGTCTCTGTGCGAGGCTATGGGTCTCTTGTGTGAGTCTATGGGTCTCTTGTGTGAGTCTATGGATCTATGTGTGAGTCTGTGGGTCTCTGTGTGAGTCTATGGGTCTCTGTGTGAGTCTATGTGTCTCTGTGTTAGTCTACGGGTCTCCGTGTGAGTCTATGGGTCTCTGTGTGAGTCTATGGGTCTCTGTGTTAGTCTACGGGTTTCTGTGTGAGTCTATGGGTCTCTGTGTGAGTCTATGGATCTTCTGTGTGAGTCTATAGGTCTCTGTGTGAGCCTATGGGTCTCTGTGGGAGTCTATGGGTCTCTGTGTGAGTCTATGGGTCTCTGTGTGAGTCTATGGGTCTCTGTGTGAGTCTATGGGTCTCTGTGTGAGTCTGTGTGTCTCTGTGTGAGTCTATGAGTCTCTGTGTGAGTCTATGGGTCTCTGTGTGAGTCTATGGGTCTCTGTGTGCGTCTATGGGTCTCTGTGTGAGTCTATGGGTGTCTGTGTGAGTCTATGGGTCTCTGTGTGAGTCTATGGGTCTCTGTGTGAGTCTATGGGTCTCTGTGTGAGTCTATGGGTCTCTGTGTGAGTCTATGGGTCTCTGTGTGAGTCTATGGGTCTCTGCGTTAGTCTATGGATCTATGTGTGAGTCTATGGGTCACTGTGTGAATCTATGGGTCTCTGTGTGAGTCTATGGGTCTCAGTGTGAGTCTATGTGTCTCAGTGTGAGTCTATGGGTGTCTGTGTGAGTCTATGGGTCTCAGGGTAAGTCTTTGGGTCTCTATGAATCTATGGGTTTCTGTGTGTGTATGGTTTTCTGAGTGAGTCTATGGGTCCCTGAGTGAGTCTATGGGTCTTTGAGTGAGTCTATAGGTCTCTATCTTATTCTACGGGTCTCTATTTTAGTCTATGGGTCTTTGTGTGAGTCTATGGGTCTCAGGGTAAGTCTTTGGGTCTCTGTGAATCTATGGGTTTCTGTGTGTGTATGGTTTTCTGAGTGAGTCTATGGGTCCCTGAGTGAGTCTACGGGTCTTTGAGTGAGTCTATAGGTCTCTATCTTATTCTACGGGTCTCTATGTGAGTCGATGGGTCTCCTCGTGTTAGGCGTCTGGCCTGTCTAGTCGAACAAACTCAACTCTAAAGGGGTCGCATGAAGCCCCTTTAACCAGCAGTGGCGTTGAGCAGTGACATCGCCGCCCCTCATGTCAATGCACTGCTGGATGAGGGCTCCCACCCACACTTGTAGGGGTTTGTTGACAATGATAACGATCACGACCAAGACAATGATCACAATGATGATGATCGTAATAATGATGATCACGGCCATGATGCTCACAGTGATGATGATGATGATGATCGCAATAATGATGATCACAGCGATGATGATCGCGACCATGATGATCACAGCGATAATGATCACGATCACAATGATGATGATGATGATCACAATGATGATGATGATCACAAAGATGATGATGATGATCACGATGATGATCACAATGATGATGATGATCACAATGATGATGATGATGATCACAATGATCACGATGATGATGATGATGATGATCACGATGATGATGATCACAATGATGATGATGATGATCACAATTATCACGATGATGACGATGATGATCACAATGATCACGATGATGACGATGATGATGATCACAATGATCACGACGATGATGATGATGATCACAATGATGATCACAATGATGATGATGATGATCACGATGATGATGATCACAATGATGATGATGATGATGATCACAATGATGATGATGATGATCACAATGATGATGATGATCACAATGATGATGATGATGATCTCATTACTGACTGGCGTGCTGGGAGTGCCAGGGACTGCGATCCGCGAGCTGGGAGTGCCTCTTGTGGCACTGCCTGTTGGAGGCCGTCTGCTGGAGAACAGGGGACACAGGGCACGGGGTGACACCACAGCCGCCATCACTCCCTTCCTCCTGCCGGAACCCTGCGACTGCGGCACCGTTGACGCCGTGGCCACTTACAGGCATCATCATCATTACCACCATCATCATAACCACCATCACCATAATCATCATCATCATCACCATCATCATCATCATAACCACCATCATCATCACCACCGTCGTCATCACCATCATCATCACCACCATCATCATCATAACCACCATCATCATCACCATAATCATCATCATTACCACCATCACCACCATCATCATCATCATCACCACCACCACCATCATCACCATAATCATCATCATCACCACCATCACCACCATCATCATTACCATCATCACCACCACCATCATCACCATAATCATCATCACCACCATCACCACCATCATCACCATCATCACCACCACCATCATCATCATCACCACCACCACCATCATCACCATAATCATCATCATCACCACCATCACCACCATCATCATCACCATCATCACCACCACCATCATCATCATCACCACCATCATCATCACCACCATCACCACCACCACCATCATCATCATCACCACCATCACCACCACCATAATCATCATCATCACCATCATCATCCCCACCATCATCATAACCACCATCACCACCACCACCACCATCATCATAACCACCATCACCACCACCATAATCATCATCATCATCACCATCATCATCCCCACCATCATCATAACCACCATCATCATCACCATAATCATCATCATCACCATCATCATCCCCACCATCATCATAACCACCATCATCATCACCATAATCATCATCATCACCACCACCACCACCACCACCATCATCATCATCATCATCTTCACCACCGCCACCACCATCATCATCATCACCACCATCACCACCATCATCATAACCACCATCACCATCAACACCACCATCATCATCACCACCAACACCACCACCATCATCATCACCACCATCACCACCATCATCATAATCACCATCACCATCACCACCACCATCATCATCACCACCACCACCATCATCATAACCACCATCATCATCACCACCATCATCATCACCACCACCATCATCATCATCATCACCACCATCATCATCATCACCACCACCATCATCATCACCATCATCACCACCACCATCATCATCACCATCATCATCATCACCACCATCATCATCATCACCACCATCACCACCATCATCACCGCCACCATCACCACCCCCATCATCACCACCATTACCACCATCACCACCAACACCATTACCACCACCATCATCACCACTACCACCATCATCACCACCACCATCATCATCACCATCATCATCACCACCATCATTATCACCACCACCACCACCATCATCATCACCACCATAACCACCACCATCATCATCATCACCACCACCACCACCACCACCATCATCACTACCATTACCACCACCATGATCATCATCATCACTACCATTACCACCACCATCACCATCACCACCACCATCATCACCACCATTACCACCACCACCATCACTACCCCCCCCCCCCCACCACCACCACCCCCTGTGGTGGTGGTGAAGCGTGTCTCTAGGTCTTCTCGTCCCCCCGGTCACCGACCTCTCCCGTGCCCGTCTCAGTGAGCTACCCTCCACCGCCCTACATGCCACACGTCCCACCCATCACTGCCACCTCCTCCTGCCACGTGGCCGTGAGTGGGAATGGAACTCGGCAAGCGGGGTTCGTAGCGCGACGCGCGCTAAACCGCAACGCCGCCGCCACTCTCCGTACTCTGTATGCGGGTAACACCGCACGCAAGTCAGTGGGTGGGTGGGTGAGCGGGTGATTGAGTTGGTGGGTGGGTGAGTGAGCGGGTGATTGAGTGGGTGGGTGGGTGAGTGAGCGGGTAAGCGAGCGGGAGAGCGAGCGGAGAGCGGGTGGGTGGGTGAGTGAGTGGGTGGGTGTGTGAGTGAGTAGGTGATTGAGCAGGTGGGTGGGTGAGCGGGTGAGTGAGTGAGCGGGTGGGTGGGTGAGTGAGCGGGTGGGTGGGTAAGTGAGTGGGTAGATGAGTGAGCGGGTGGTTGAGTGAGCGGGTGGGTGGGTGAGTGAGCGGGTGGGTGGGTGAGTGAGTAGGTGATTGAGCGGGTGGGTGGGTGAGTGAGCGGGTGAGTGAGCGGGTGGGTGGGTGAGTGAGCGGGTGGGTGGGTAAGTGAGTGGGTAGATGAGTGAGCGGGTGGGTGAGTGAGCGGGTGAGTGAGCGGGTGGGTGGGTGAGCGGATGGGTGAGTGAGCGGATGGGTGGGTGGGTGAGCGAGCGAGCGGGTGAGTGAGCGGGCGGGTGGGTGAGTGGGCAGGTGGGTGGGTGAGTGAGTGAGTGGGTGGGTGAGTGGGTGGGTGAGTGAGCGGGTGAGTGAGTGGATGGGTGAGTGAGCGGGTGAGTGAGCGAGCGGGTGAGTGAGCAGGTGAGTGAGCGGGTGGGTGAGTGAGCGGGTGAGTGAGCGAGCGGGTGAGTGAGTGAGCGGGTGGGTGGGTGGGTGAGCGAGCGGGTGAGTGAGCGGGTGAGTGAGCGGGTGAGTGAGTGGGTGGGTGAGTGAGTGAGTGGGTGGGTGAGTGAGTGAGTGGGTGAGTGAGTGAGTGGGTGGGTGAGTGAGTGAGTGAGCGGGTGAGTGAGTGAGTGAGTGGGTGAGTGAGTGAGTGGGTGGGTGAGTGGGTGGGTGAGTGAGCGGGTGAGCGAGCGGGTGAGTGAGTGAGTGAGTGAGCGGGTGAGTGAGTGAGTGAGTGGGTGGGTGAGTGAGTGAGTGAGTGAGCGGGTGAGCGAGCGGGTGAGTGAGCGGGTGAGTGAGCGGGTGAGTGAGTGGGTGAGTGGGTGGGTGAGTGAGTGAGTGGGTGAGTGAGTGAGTGAGCGGGTGAGCGAGCGGGTGAGTGAGCGGGTGAGTGAGCGGGTGAGTGAGTGGGTGGGTGGGTGGGTGAGTGAGTGAGTGAGTGGGTGAGTGAGTGAGCGAGCGAGCGGGTGAGTGAGCGGGTGAGTGAGCGGGTGAGTGAGTGGGTGGGTGGGTGAGTGAGTGAGTGAGTGGGTGAGTGAGCGGGTGAGTGAGTGGGTGGGCGGGTGAGTGAGTGTGTAAGTGAGCGGGTGAGTGAGTGGGTGAGCGGGTGAGTGAGTGGGTGAGTGAGCGGGTGAGTGAGTGAGTGAGTGAGCGGGTGAGTGAGCGGGTGAGTGAGTGAGTGAGTGAGCGGGTGAGTGAGTGGGTGAGCGGGTGAGTGAGCGGGTGAGTGAGTGAGTGGGTGAGTGAGCGGGTGAGTGAGTGGGTGGGCGGGTGAGTGAGCGGGTGAGTGAGCGGGTGAGTGAGTGGGTGGGCGGGTGAGTGAGTGAGCGGGTGAGTGGGTGAGTGAGCGGGTGGGTGGGTGAGCGGGTGAGTGAGCGAGCGGGTGAGTGAGTGAGTGAGTGAGCGGGTGAGTGAGCGGGTGAGTGAGTGAGCGGGTGAGTGGGTGAGTGAGCGGGTGGGTGGGTGAGCGGGTGAGTGAGCGAGCGGGTGAGTGAGTGAGTGAGTGAGCGGGTGAGTGAGCGGGTGAGTGAGTGAGCGGGTGAGTGAGCGGGTGAGTGAGTGAGCGAGCGGGTGAGTGAGCGGGTGAGTGAGTGAGCGGGTGAGTGGGTGAGTGAGCGGGTGGGTGGGTGAGCGGGTGAGTGAGCGAGCGGGTGAGTGAGTGAGTGAGTGAGCGGGTGAGTGAGCGGGTGAGTGAGTGAGCGGGTGAGTGAGCGGGTGAGTGAGTGAGCGAGCGGGTGAGTGAGCGGGTGAGTGAGTGAGCGGGTGAGTGGGTGAGTGAGCGGGTGGGTGGGTGAGCGGGTGAGTGAGCGAGCGGGTGAGTGAGTGAGTGAGTGAGCGGGTGAGTGAGCGGGTGAGTGAGTGAGCGGGTGAGTGGGTGAGTGAGCGGGTGGGTGGGTGAGCGGGTGAGTGAGCGAGCGGGTGAGTGAGTGAGTGAGTGAGCGGGTGAGTGAGCGGGTGAGTGAGTGAGCGGGTGAGTGAGCGGGTGAGTGAGTGAGCGAGCGGGTGAGTGAGCGGGTGAGTGAGTGGGTGAGTTGGTGGGTGAGTGAGTGGGTGGGTGGGTGAGTGAGTGGGTAGATGAGTGAGTGGGTGGGTGAGTGAGCGGGTGAGTGAGTGAGTGAGTGAGCGGGTGAGTGAGCGGGTGAGTGCGCTGCACAGCGCTCACTCTGCGATACACGCTGTAGGCGTCTGTGTTGACGATGTTCATCTTGTCGTCCGTGACGTCGTCGTCATCGTCCGTGTCTCCTGCAACAGCAACAACAAGAACAACAACAACAAAACATCAACAAGATCATCAACAATAAGAACATCAACAACAAAACATCAACAACAACATCAACAAGATCATCAACACCAAGAACATCAACAGCATTAATAACACTAACAACAACAAGAACAACATTAACAACACAAACAACAGCAGTCAAATACTTTAAACCCATGGTTATGTTGATGCTTCGTGTGGAGGGGAAAACCGGAGGACACGGAGAAAAACCCAAGCGACCACAGAGAGAGACGCAGACTCCAAATATACAGCAGCAGGCGTCAGGGTCGAGATTGAACCCACGACCCCTGTTGAGCAGGCAAAGAATTTAACCCACCCACTCACTCACCCACTCACCCATTCACTCACCCACCAACTCACCCACAAACTCACCCACTCACCCACCCACTCACCCACCCACTCACCCACTCACCCACTCATCCACCCTCCCACCCACTCACCCACTCACTCACCCACTCACCCACCCACTCACTCACTCACGCACACACCCACTCACCCATTCACTAACTCACCACTCACGCACTCACTCACCCACTCACCCACTCACCCACTCACTAACTCATCACTCACGCACTCACTCACCCACTCACCCACTCACTCACCCACTCACCCATTCACTAACTCATCACTCACGCACTCACTCACCCACTCACCCACTCACCCACCCACTCACCCATTCACTAACTCATCACTCACGCACTCACTCACCCACTCACCCATTCACTAACTCATCACTCACGCACTCACTCACCCACTCACTCACCCACTCACCCACTCACCCATTCACTAACTCATCACTCACGCACTCACTCACCCACTCACCCACTCACCCACCCACTCACCCATTCACTAACTCATCACTCACGCACTCACTCACCCACTCACCCATTCACTAACTCATCACTCACGCACACACTCACCCACTCACTCACCCACTCACCCACTCACTCACCCATTCACTAACTCATCACTCACGCGCTCACTCACCCACTCACCCACTCACCCACTCACTCACCCACTCACCCACTCACCCACTCACTCACCCATTCACTAACTCATCACTCACGCGCTCACTCACCCACTCACCCACTCACCCACTCACTCACCCACTCACCCACTCACCCACTCACTCACCCACTCACCCACTCACTCACCCACTCACCCATTCACTAACTCATCACTCACTCACGCACTCACAACCCATAATATTGCTTTTTGTTTGTTAGATTGCGTCAATATAAACCCGTCACCACCTGCCACAATACGTAAGGGTTGTCACGTAAACAGAACGTGGACAATTCGTCACCAGTACAGCACTAGTGCGTAGTGTATAGTGTAGTGTATAGTAGTGTAGTATATAGTGTAGTGTATAGTAGTGTAGTGTATAGTAGTGTAGTGTATAGTAGTGTAGTATATAGTGTAGTGTATAGTAGTGTAGTGTATAGTAGTGTAGTATATAGTGTAGTGTATAGTAGTGTAGTGTATAGTAGTGTAGTGTATAGTGTGTATTGTAGTGTATAGTGTAGTGTATAGTGTAGTGTATAGTGTAGTGTGTAATGTATAGTAGTGTAGTGTATAGTAGTGTAGTATATAGTGAAGTGTATAGTAGTGTAGTGCATAGTAGTGTATAGTGTAGTGTATAGTGTAGTGTATAGTAGTATAGTGTAGTGTATAGTAGTGTAGTGTATAGTAGTGTAGTGTGTAGTGTAGTGTATAGTAGTGTATAGTAGTGTAGTGTATAGTGTAGTATATCACTAGTACAGCACCACCGGTGTGTTGGAGAGCCAAGCCTCAACATCTACAATCTGATTTACGACGTTTCACCACTAATTACAACCAGCTTCATCAGGCGACAGCCAGATTTGTGGAGAAATCCTTCCCGTTTCGTTGCTTAAACAGAGGGGTGGATGTGATGACTTCCCTTGTGAGCCCCTCACGTGTGAATCGGAGGGTGGGGGGGATTAATTAATGTGTATACATAACAATGGGTGTCTATTGGGTTATTCATAAGGGGCCGTCCATAAATGACGTCACGCACCTAGGGGGGGAGGGGGGTGACGATGTGTGACGTCACATCAAAATGCGCAACTTTAAAAAAAAAAAACAACGTTCTACTTAATTAAATAGACTTTTTAATAAATTTTTTCTCCAATAGTTTAAAGCGATTTGAAGCATGTTTTTTTTGGGGGGGGGGGGGGCAGAGCTTGTGACGTCATATTTGAGGGGGGTGGGGGTCTGACTTTTTGTGACGCCGTGTGACGAAGGGGGTGGGGGTAGGGGGGGGGCAAAAATCGTTCAAAATCGCGTGACGTCATTTATGGACGGCCCCAAAGGTACTCAACGTACACGATGCACAAACAATGTTCGCCGGTTTTGCACAGAGCTTCAACATCATCAAGAGCAATCGAGTGTCCTGGTTGGCACGCGTGTTCTGCTACTGCTACAGTTGTATTTGGGAGTATTTTATATTTCTCTGATGTTCTTTTTGTCTCGTGCTGATCATTCGTCCTGTTTGCCCAACATGACATTTGCCACACGTGCAGTTAATCATGTGCACACCTTCTGTTAATCATGTGCACACCTTCTGTTGTAGCAAATATGAATTCCTGTATTTTACGTACCGTGCCAAATCTGACTCGGATGTTTTCTTTTTCCAAACATCTGGCTAGTTTATCAGCTACTCCCGCAATGTACGGTATCTTTATTGTTTTAATTCCTTGGGCAGTTTCAACGCTCGTGTCATTTGATTTGGTTTTGGCATTCAGTGCCCTGTTGATTTGTGCTTCATTGTAACCGTTCAATTGCAGCGCTGTTGAATTTAACTTCTCAGACCATCACCATCCGACACATTCTTTCGGTAAACGCTGTGTGGGTTATTTTACCATTTCGGCCGCACCCGAGCAGAATATCCAGAAATGGGAGAGTTTTGTCAACTTCCACTTGCATGGTTAACTGAATGGACGGGTTTTGCGAGTTGAGATGATTTAGAAAATTGCCATGTGGCCAGACCACCAGTGTGTCATCCACGTATCTAAACCATCCACATATCTAAACCCACCAACCCACTCACCCACCCACGCACCCACCCACCCACGCACCCACCCACCCACCCACGCACCCACCCACCCACCCACGCACCCACCCACCCACCCACCCACGCACCCACCCACCCATGCACCCACCCACCCACCCATGCACCCACCCACCCACCCATGCACCCACCCACCAATGCATCCACCCACCAATACACCCACCCACCCACGCACCCACCCACCCACCCACCCACGCACCCACCCACCCACCCATGCACCCACCCACCAATGCATCCACCCACCAATACACCCACCCACGCACCCACCCACCCACGCACCCACCCACCCACCCACGCACCCACCCACCCATGCACCCACCCACCCATCCACCCACCCACACACCCACCCACGCACCCACCCACCAGTGCACCCACCCACCAATGCACCCACCCACTCACAGCAAAGCGAGCGAGGTGATCGGCACCCCCTCCCCCCCACGCGCGATGGAAGGGTGATGGGAGGCTGACACACGAGTGATGGGAGGGTGACACACGAGTGATGAGAGGGTGACACACGTAGCGATGGGAGGGTGACACACGAGTGATGAGAGGGTGACACACGGAGCGATGGAACGGCCGCACACGAGTGATGAGAGGGTGACACACGGAGTGATGGGACGGTGCTAGTTGTCCACCTTTTCCCCGGGAGCCCTCTGGCAGCACGCGGTAGACCTTGTAGGGCTCGGAGATGTCGAGCTGGCTGCGCTCCGACACCTCCTCGAAGTCGGAGCTCTTGTTGAGGGCGCAGCGCAGACGCGTCTTCCACGCAGGGGGGTCCGCGCGGTCTCCCTGCCGGAACTTGCCCTTGAACAGCGCCCAGCCCTGCAGCGCGCACACACACATGTACACACGCACACACACACATGTACACACACATGTACACACACACGTACACACGCACACACACATGTACACACACGCACGCACACACGCACATACACACACGCGCACACATACACACACATACATACACACACGCACACATACACACACGCACGCATGCACGCACGCACACATGAACACACACATACACACACACGCACACACGCACACACGCACACACACACGCACACACATGCACACGCACACACGCATACACGCACACACACATACACACACACGCACACGCACACACGCACACACACGCACACACACGCACACACACATGTACACGCACACACGCACACACACACGCACGCACGCACGCACACGCACACACGCACACACACACACGCACACATACACACACATACATACACACACACATACACATACGCACGCATGCACGCACGCACACATGAACACACACATACACTCACACGCACGCACACGCACACACGCACACACACATGCACACACACACACGCGCACACACACGCACACACGCACACATGCACACATACACACACGCACACACGCACGCACACACACGCACGCATACCGAAAGAACCAAGAAGATGAATCCCTGCATTCACGAAAGCTTTAAATCGAAATTCAATGTACGGTATATTTATAGTTTTAAGTGCTTGAACAGTTTCAACGCTCGTGTCATTAGATTGGGGTTTGGCATTCAGTGCCCTGTTGATTCGTGCATCATTGCAACCTTTCAATTGCAGCGCTGCTTTAACATGTTTAATTTCACTTCTCAGACTTATCACTTTCTTGATAAGAGAATAATTCTGTGCGGGGTTATGGTGTGACCCTGCATGAAGATAGGGGTCATTGTGCATTTTCTCTCCGGTAAACGCTGCGTGGGCTATTAAGTCCTTTATATTAAGTTCACTTGCTTGCTTGCTTGCGCGCTTACGACCGTGCAAATCTTTCGGTCGTTTTTTTAACCCGCTTCCCGTGATCCAATCGAGCTGACATTTTGCACACAGACTCGTTGTGAGTGACAATTTATTTTCGTGAAAATTTTTTTCCAAAATTTTCCACTTTTTAGGAAAATGTTTTTTCATATTTAATTTAAAATACCAATGTGATAAAAATGAAACTCTTACTTAAGAAAAACAGAAATGAATAATAAAATAAAACCGATGCCACGCATATAAAGGATTTATAGTGAAAAACTTTGTTTTTACGGGTTAATTTTTTTTACCATTTCGGCCACGCACGAGCAGAATATCCAGAAACGGAGAATTCTGTCAACTTCCACTTTCATCGGAAACTGAATGGACGGGTTTTGCGAGTTGAGATGATTTAGAAAATCGTTGAGTGTACCTTTGCCATGTGGCCAGACCACCAGTGTGTCATCCACATATCTAAACCATCCACATATCTAAACCCACCCACCCACTCACGCACCCACCCACCCACGCACCCACGCACCCACGCACCCACGCACGCACCCACCCACGCACGCACCCACCCACCCACCCACGCACGCACGCACCCACCCACGCACGCACCCACCCACCCACGCACCCACCCACCCACGCACCCACGCACGCACCCACCCACGCACGCACCCACCCACGCACGCACCCACCCACCCACGCACGCACCCACCCACGCACGCACTCACGCACGCACGCACCCACCCACCCACGCACCCACCCACGCACGCACCCACGCACGCACGCACGCACCCACCCACCCACGCACGCACCCACCCACGCACCCACGCACGCACCCACCCACGCACGCACCCACCCACCCACGCACCCACCCACGCATGCACGCACCCACGCACGCACGCACGCACCCACCCACGCACGCACCCACCCACGCACCCACGCACGCACCCACCCACGCACGCACCCACGCACGCACGCACCCACCAGGCACGCACCCACGCACGCACGCACCCACCCACCCACGCACGCACCCACCCACGCACGCACCCACCCCCGCACGCACCCACCCACCCACGCACGCACCCACCCACGCACCCACCCACCCACCCACCCACCCACCCACGCACCACCCACCCACGCACGCACCCACCCACGCACGCACCCACCCACCACGCCCGCACCCACCCACCCACGCACCCACCCACCACGCACCCACCCACGCACGCACCCACCCACCCACCCACGCACCCACCCACCCACCCACGCACCCACCCACCCACGCACGCACCCACCCACGCACGCACGCACGCACTTACCCACCCACGCACGCACGCACTCGCCCACGCACCCACCCACGCACCCACCCACGCACGCACCCACCACCCACGCACGCACCCACCACCCACCCACGCACCCACCCACCCACCCACGCACGCACCCACCACCCACGCACGCACCCACCCACCACGCACCCACCCACCCACGCACGCACGCACCCACCCACCCAGCACGCACCCACCCACCACGCACCCACCCACCCACGCACCCACCAACCAATAGACCCACCCACCAATGCACCCACCCACTCACCAACACAATAACTGGATGGACGACTGATTTTTGCGAGGTGAGATGACTTAAACCTTCCAAATAATTTCTAAATCATGGATAATATTGATCGCGACAGCCTACGTGTCAAACTGAGGCACATTGTCTCTGGACACTGAGAGAGAGAGACACTGTCTCTGGACACTGAGAGAGAGACACTGTTTCTGGACACTGAGAGAGACACTGTCTCTGGACACTGAGAGAGAGACACTGCTTCTGGACACTGAGAGAGACACTGTCTCTGGACACTGAGAGAGAGAGACACTGCTTCTGGACACTGAGAGAGAGAGACACTGCTTCTGGACACTGAGAGAGAGAGACACTGCTTCTGGGCTGACCTTGAAAAGGGCCGCATCTTCCTGCTGGCAGTAGTCGTGTTTGGCCGCGTGCTTCCAGGGGATTCGGAACGTGGCCTTGGAGTCGTCCTCCCAGCGCAGACCCGGGTAGAGGCCGCTCTCGATCTGCTCCAGCAGCCACGGCCTCAGACGCTTCGATCCGCCCGCAGACGGCAGCCGATCCATGGCGCACAAGCCGGATGCCCGCAACGGACTACGCTCCAGATCAGGATTCAGATCCCGAACCGGTTCCCGATGGGGGATTCGGATTCAGATGCCGGAGCAGATCTCCTTCTGGATCAGGATTCAAATCTCGAACCAGATCCCGGTCCCGATCCCGATCCAGGTTCCGAAGCAAATCCAGCTCCAGATTTAGATCCAATCCGGCATTGCTGCGGCACAAGTACATCACTCGAGTGAGATTTGTGATGCAGTTTTTGTGTTTATCCCAAACACCACCACCACCACCATCATCGTCGTCGTTGTCGTCATTGGCTGGCTGAGCCGTAGAACAAAGACGGTCAAAGCGTCATCATCATCGTCATCATCGTCATCATCGTCATCACCGTCGTCATCGTCATCGTCGTCATCGTCATCGTCATCATCGTCATCATCTTCGTCGTCGTCGTCGTCATCGCGCGGCGCTGTCAGTTGCGCTGCTGCTTCTGCGGCCGTCTGGAACGCTCTTCCTGACCGACATTAGGAAGTCAACAGAGCTATGCACTTTAAAATCATCATCGTCGTCGTCATCGTCGTCGAGATTGACGAGCTCATTTCTTGAGCTAGTACTTTGTTGTGCTTCCCACCCCGCACCGTCAATTAGCACGGTTGGCACGTATGGTGCGAAATAATTTCAACATGGTACATACATCGACTCACACAGACACCTATAGACTCACAAAGAGACCCATAGACCCACACAGAGACCCACAGACTCACAAAGAGACCCATAGACTCACACAGAGACACAGACTCACATAGAGACCCATAGACTCACACAGAGACCCATAGACTCACACAGAGACACATAGACTCACACAGAGACACATAGACTCACACAGAGACACATAGACTCACACAGAGACCCACAGACTCACAAAGAGACCCATAGACTCACACAGAGACACAAAGACTCACACATAGACCATAGGCTCGCACAGAGACACAAAGACTCACACAGAGACCCATAGACTCACACAGAGACACATAGACTCACACAGAGACCCATAGACTCACACAGAGACCCATAGACTCACACAGAGACACATAGACTCACACAGAGACCCATAGACTCACACAGAGACACATAGACTCACACAGAGACCCTGTATATTTGGAGTCTGCGTCTCTCTGGTCGCGTGAATTTCTTTCCGGCCCTCGGGGTTTTCCCTCCACATTTAGATTCAACAACATCACGCGTTTAGAGTGTTTGGTTGCTGAAGATGATGATAAGCCACTTCGTTGACCTATCATTTGTGGCCAGGTCGCTTCTGAAAAAGAGCTACATAGTTCAGTGGGGGCCTTACCTGGTTAAAAATAACAACACATTCCTCCTGCGGAGGGAGCTGGTAGGAACGTTGGGTTGCTCGGTCAATGGCCAGGGTCAACGGCGGCGTGGTGTATTCCGCAAATATGCCCGACTGTGAGGGCGGGCACAAACCGGCGTGAGTAGGTTAAACGTTGAGTTTTATAAGGGCACCACGGGGTGACCAGCCCCTCCCCACCCAGCCCCACCCCTCCCCACCCAGCCCCACCCCTCCCACCCCCCACCCAGCCCCACCCTCCCCCCCCAGTCCCACGCCTCCCACCCAGCCCCTCCCCACCCAGCCCCTCCCCACCCAGCCCCTCCCCACCCTCCCCACCCAGCCCTTCCCCACCCTCCCCTCCCCTTCCCACCCAGCCCCTCCGACGGGCGGACACAATAATCCCCTGTGGGCTGGTGTAACCAGGAGGTTCCTACCAGTAAAACATGTTTCGTTTCGACCTGTCTACGTGCGGTGCGCAACACACGCAGACACACACACAGACACACACGCAGACACACACGCAGACACACACGCAGATACACACGCAGACACACACGCAGACACACACGCAGACACACACACACAGATACACACGCAGACACACACACAGATACACACGCAGACACACACACACAGATACACACGCAGATACACACGCAGATACACACGCAGACACACACGCAGACACACACGCAGATACACACGCAGATACACACGCAGACACACACGCAGACACACACGCAGCTCAAGATTACGACTTCCAATATCTCGAGGAGTCACCAAGCCCCCCTGCACCCCCCGTAGGTTCGTCTCACGACCTCGGTCCGCGTGTCAGAGAAACGAAACTCGCCCTGGCGGCACGAGGGGGAAGGGAGTCGCGGAGTTCCTGAAGCGTGGTTTCGAAACAGCCGCCAGCGAACTGCGTGGGCGCGTGTGTGTGTGAGTGTATGTGTGTGAGTGTGTGAGTGTGTGTGAGTGTGTGTGTGTGCGTGTGTGTGTGAGTGTGTGTGAGTGTATGTGTGTGAGTGTGTGAGTGTGCGTGTGTGCGTGTGTGTGTGCGTGTGTGTGCGCGTGTGTGTGTGTGTGTGCGTGTGTGCGTGTGTGTGTGCGTGTGTGCGTGTGTGTGTGGGTGTGTGCGCATGTGGGTGTGTGCGCGTGTGTGTGTGTGCGTGAGTGTGTGTGCGTGTGTCTGTGTGTGTGGGGAGCGGTAGTGCAGCGGTTAGCGCGCTGCGCTATGAACTTGGCAACCTGGGTTCGATTCCCGCTCACGGCTAACACCAGTGACGATTATCTGAACCGGTCCTGGGCCTCCCCTAGGTCAACTCAGCCTTAAATGAGTACCTGGTGTGGTGTGTAAACATTGCCACTGGGGAGACAAAGGCGGTCGGGCGTGTTGCTGGCCACCCACCCCCCTCGTGTACCGTTCCGGCCTTCATAGGTGCTCGCTAACAGCACTTGCCCCGAACAGTCTGTTAAGGCTATACGGGGGGATTTTTGTGTGTGCGTGTGTGTGTGCGTGTGTGTGTGCGTGCGTGTGTGCGTGTGTGCGTGCGTGTGTGCGTGCGTGTGTGTGTCACTGTGTGCGTGTGTGCGTGTCACTGAGTGCGTGCGCGCGTGTGCGCGTGTGTGTGCGCGTGTGTGTGCGCGTGTGCGCGTGTGTGTGCGCGTGTGTGTGCGCGTGTGCGCGTGTGTGTGGGTGTGCGTGTGCGCGTGTGCGTGTGTGGGTGGGTGTGCGTGTGTGTGCGCGCGTATGTGTGGGTGTGCGTATGTGCGCGTGTGTGTGCGTGTGCGTGTGTGCGTGTGTGTGCGCGTGTGTGTGCGTGTGCGTGCGCGTATGTGCGTGTGTGTGTGGGCATGAGTCGCGATTCTTGCCCGGGGACTCCCCCCCCGCCCCCCCCCCGAGAGAAAGAATCTACCGCGGTGATGTTCCGGATTTGCTCGGTCCCACCGGCTCATCCACATTCCTGCATCTTGGACTCCGGACTGCCCCCCCACCCCGCCTCCTCTACCCCAACGCCTCTTACCCGCCATCCCCTCCCCATAGACGCTCTGTGTGAGTCTGTGCGTCTCTGTGTGAGTCTCTATGCGTCTGTGTGTGAGTCGATGGGAATCTGTGTGAGTCGATGGGAATCTGTGTGAGTCTATGGGTATCTGTGTGAGTCTATGGGTCTCTGTGTGAGGCTATGTGTCTCTGTGTGAGTCTATGGGTCTCTGTGTGAGTTTATGGGTCTCTGTGTGAGTCTATGGGTCTCTGTGTGAGTCTATGTGTCTCTGTGTGAGTCTATGGGTCTCTGTGTGAGGCTATGTGTCTCTGTGTGAGTCTATGGGTCTCTGTGTGAGTCTATGGGTCTCTGTGTGAGTCTATGGGTCTCTGTATGAGTCTGTGTCTCTGTGTGAGTCTGTGTGTCTCTGTGTGAGTCTGTGTCTCTGTGTGAGTCTATGGATCTCTGTGTGAGTCTGGGTCTCTGTGTGAGTCTATGTGTCTCTGTGTGAGTCTATGGGTCTCTGTGTGAGTCTATGTGTCTCTGTGTGAGTCTATGCGTCTCTGTGTAAGTCTATGGGTCTCTGTGTGAGTCTATGGGTCTCTGTGTGAGTCTATGGGTCTCTGTGTGAGTCTATGGGTCTCTGTGTGAGTCTATGGGTCTCTGTGTGAGTCTCTATATGTAGTTCGTTGAACTTATATTAGAGTAACTGTACGTAGCCAATCCTAGGCGAGCATGGGCATGAGGCATGACTTCCCGTCTCGAATTTTGCATTGCAGAGCCGTCAGACATTAGCCACGATCTCCGATTAAAAAAATAAGTAATATTAAAAAAAAAACTTTCTTAAAAACACGCTTTCATGGAATGTACCGTACTAGTAATAGATGAACTCCACGACTCCAGGAAGTGGCCCCGAAGCTTGCCATAACGTAAGCGACCGTGGGCAATTAGACCCAAGCCGAAACATAACATGTAAAAAATAATGTTTAAAATATATATTTAAAAAATTGTGATAGAATATGGTATTGTCATCAGTATGGCATCAGTATACCAAGTTTGCATTCGATACCACATTGGGAAGTGGGTTAAAATTGAGTTTCAAGATTTGAGGATATGACAACACCAACAGACAGAGTGAGTTGAATATAAAAGCGTGTAAATAAAACTCGTAGCCGTGACAATCACCAATTCTCACTCACCTACCCATCTATCCTCACTCACCTACCCATCTGTCCCCACTCACCTACCCATCTGTCCCCACTCACCTACCCATCTGTCCCCACTCACCTACCCATCTATCCTCACTCACCTACCCATCTGTCCCCACTCACCTACCCATCTGTCCCCACTCACCTACCCATCTATCCTCACTCACCTACCCATCTGTCCCCACTCACCTACCCATCTGTCCCCACTCACCTACCCATCTATCCTCACTCACCTACCCATCTGTCCCCACTCACCTACCCATCTGTCCCCACTCACCTACCCATCTATCCTCACTCACCTACCCTCCTATTCCCACTCACCTACCCACATGTTACCCTCCCCCTCTCCCACAGCCATCCTGCATCTCATTTCCGCATCTTCACCTCGGTTTTCTTTCACTCCTCATCATCAAGGTCATCATCATCATCAAGGTTATCATCATCATCAAGGTTATCATCATCATCAAGGTCATCATCATCATCGAGGTCATCATCATCATCAAGGTTATCATCATCATCATGGTCATCATCATCATCAAGGTCATCATCATCATCATGGTCATCATCATCATCAAGGTCATCATCATCATCATCATGGTCATCATCATCATCAGTGTCATCATCATCATCAAGGTCATCATCATCATCATCAAGGTTATCATCATCATCATCATCA